TTTTTTTTTTTTTAATGCAAAATTCGTGTCGATGGTTGCTTTAATCACAATAGGAAAGGGAAAGCTATCTTGATAACTCATTCGACTCAGTCATCTGTTATTGAGAAACAGGCAGGCAGTGTTGATAATCGTGTTTATTCATGGCAAAGAGCTGACACTTCAAGCGACGACACAGAAGATATAACAATTTGAGTGCATTATTTCATATCTTCTCGTTATTGTTCCACAGTTATCACATTGTTTCGACCTTTGATCCCATTCAATTTCGCCATCAATTTCGTGTTAATTTGATTTTATCGCATTCGAATGTTTTTATCGATATGCCGGCGTTAGTGTTCAGATATGGTTGTCCGATAGACGATTAACCATTTGCGAGAAATACACAGGTTTTATTGTTAATGTACTGAGCAATATTTCTTTCAGTATGCATTAATCCTCCATCGGACTTTGGGAAACCAGAAAATTCTGTGTCGCTACGATAATTCAGCACCTATGAAGATATAATGCCCAATCGTGTAAAATATTGACTAACCGCTTTATCAGAATAATGATATGGATATGAAGAGATACTCAGACCTATTAAACAAGCACTGGCAATATTTGAAAGTATAAAACGGTCTTGAATCTCGTTATTTGACACAAGTCTCCTGTCTGTGGACTGAAAATTACTAGAACAGGTCAATCGGTCTGAGTAAATATCAAAAAGGTAATATATTATTTAATACCTTAAGGAATATATTAGACTCACATAACTTTTAATTAACTTCGAGGACCTTTTCCATGTAAAGTTCTATAGGCCTATGGCAAAGTTATTATTTAACGTAAGTTTATATCGATGTATCATAATTTCAGAAATAGCACAATGGACAAGTGTATCGTTGACGCTGACACGGTCATACTAGACTGGGCAAAGAAGTGGTATGATGAAAATATGAAGAAAGGACTGGAAAAACTTCATAAAGGTGAGAAACTGGATTGGGAGGCAATCAACATTGACCTTAAAAAGCAGGTGGGTGATGACAAGCTTCGCTTGGTGCCCGATGAAGGCGCAGATATTGAAAGGGACGAAAAGATCAGCGATGAAGATGCTTCCACTGGACCCAAACAGCAACGCGCCTACGTGCTGTTCCGCTCCTGCTTCAACAACGACACATGCGGAGATCAGGAACATACTCTGAGAACAGAACGCAGAACAAACTCCACGTGCCAAGTGTCCATTTCAGAAGGATGTAGAATCGGCGGAGGCTTCAGTTTAAATGTCCCAAACCCTGTGATTGAGGCTAACGTTGGTTTTAGCAAAGAACTGGAAATTACAGAGGGAAAAGAAACGACTACCGAGCGCGAGTTGACGTGGACCCTTGACAGCCTTATCAAAGTTCCCGCCAAAACCAAGATCACTGCAGAAATGCAGGTGAAGGAAGCAGAATACCAAGGGAAATTTGAGCTTAAAACGTATATAAGGGGACGTTTTGAAGTAGTCTTGAGCAAAAACGGCTGTCACCTTGGTACAATCAAAGGTTCCAATCTGAAGAAAGTTTTTACCAAAGAACACGGTTTCAAGGAGGACGCAGCAGGGGTGTATATTGTAACACGCGGTACCTGCCACTTTCGATACGGCATTGAGCAAAATTTGCGATTGTATGAAGAAAAACTTCCTGGCTGGGAGGACCTGAAGAGGAATAAACAAGATTAGTGGCCAGGGCTTACAGCTTATTACAACCTGGTGCGTCGGCATATATGCGTGCTGCTTTACAACGCTTAGTTCACTGCAAGCTAGAAAGAACTGTCAGAACGTTTGTAGAACATTCGATACATTTACAAAGGCATATTAACCTTCGCCTCTGCCAAGTGGAAAGGATTTATTAATGTACGTGCATGTGCATTCTGACAAATGTATATCCCGACAGTTATCTTGCATTAACGCTCGTTTCCATTTCTAACACTAAAGAATAGACGTTTATAATGTGTTGCACAGTCGACAATTGGAAATTAAATGTGGTAAGCTTTTTGCTTTTTGATATCTGTTTCACTTCGAAAATGCACTGATGTTATGGCTGTAGTGAAAATCCAGAAAAAATTAACACGACATCCGACCATTTCGACCTCAGTTAAGTGCTTTTCACTTTAGATTGATCGTTCGTGTATTGACATCGAAAACCATACATTAATTTATCTGATTATTAAAGTGTGCTGATGGTATGAAACAGACGCAAAAACCTTGTCAACCATCAATATCTCAGCTGTTAAATTACGAAATTCTCTCTGGGATTTGATTGTCTTTCTTCATTGATTGTGCTAATGGGATTAGAACAATCCTTTTAGAATTCAAGGGTCATTGCCGCATAAATTGCATGTGAACAGTACAAATGTTAACATTCGTAAGCTATATGAAACGCGAATGCATGCTATGAGGAACCTCTGGGGGTTTACTCCATATCATACAAAATCAAAATGTGCGTGTCTCACCAAACGCATTCAGGACGAAAGTGGAGCACAGCCAACGTCTGAGCACAATCATATTGCCCTGTTTTTTCCCCTTTGACATACCATTTTTTCCCCATAATTTTGAACTGTAAAAGGTACATTTGACAAGACTAAAAACTGGATCCATTACCAGACTTACCTACAAGGGCTACAGACAAAAGTAGTTTAAAAAAATGAAGGATGTTTTTTTTAATAAGTGATTCAGACCACAAATAAAAGGACTTTATGAAAGCATTTTTCAATGAATATAGTATTATGAACTACTTTTTAAATCTTTAGTGTTCAGTAATTGACCGAAAATACCAAGTAACATATTAATAAAAAACACAAACACACATAATATATAATATCTATGCTTTACTACACTGTTTAACCAATAGGGGTGTCAAGACAACAATACACAATCCAAATGAGCAAGGATATAAAACTGCAGTTAAACTAGATTAACTATAGAACTCATCACAGTAAGAAAAAGGAGGATGACAGTTAACCACTGTCAAACTTCACATAAATGTTTAATAATCAAAATGTAAAATAACAATTGTTAACCAAGCATTCCATATTAATGCATCTTTCTAAAACTTTTTACAGCAGTTATTGGATTTCTTTACAAATGCATGAAAAATGTTCAATTTGCTATGTTCATCACATTTGTATTTCATGTCTACCTCCAATTTCACCACCTACTAGCAAATGGCAAAGTGCATTTGCTTGGCTGGCAAGAACTTTTTATTCTCTACAAAAACTTGAGCAAAGTATTACTATCGTTATTTAAAACTTATTGTTTACAACATACTTGGTCACTAATCATTATCACTGGTAAATATTAATAATACATCCTTGTATGACTTATTTTTATAATGCTGAATATAAAATGGATAAACAGCTACCTTGTACCAGGAATCACTTCAAAATAATAATTAAGTGGATAAAAAATTGAGTTATTTTCATGCTATAGGAATAAGGCAAAAGACATGTGGACTCACATATCTTTTAGTTTTAGATATAAAACATGTTCTAAGCACCAATTATCGAAAAACAAGAATTAATTTACAATACATTTTACTGGTCTTGTTTACTGGCCTAGTTTAAATTACCACCAAAGATATTTTGAAACCGGTTTCACATGACCAAGAAATCATCTACAATTTCTCATAAATAAGTTTAAACAATGTATTAAAAATTACAGGAAAATTAAAAATATGATTTGATTTTCCTCTATGCACAAGCTACCACTGACTCTGTATAAAATTCATCCACCAAACCCACCAAATTCACCATTCTGATTCTGAATGATATTGTTGTGGTACTTAGAAAAGGAAATTCTTACATATTCTTTATAAGAGTCTTCTTTTGGTGCTTTCATTGGTAACATAAATACACTGTTAGCTTTGCCTAAATAAAAAATGAAATAAATATAATTAAATACAAACATGTAATTCATCATCTAATTATCCATTCACTGACAGAATATACAAATAATCAGATAATGTAGCTGTGGTGAATAGTTAATTGCTATAGTTCATTATGTGTATATTACCAAAAGTACACTATGCAGATAAATTAAATCAAGTTACCATTTTCACAACAAGTATTTTTATCCGTAATCTCCTATCTAATTGCCTAATTGAAACTTTGCAAATTATAAATGACAAATTACGTGAATCTGGATTTTGTTTACCTTTTCCACCTTTATGTAACTTTTTGGTTCTGGTTGTAGGTCTTTTCCACTTAATTCACTGCATTCATTATCATCAAACACCAAGTTATAGCGTAGTCCATTCAGAGTTCCACCTTTCATGGTCACCACAATTCTGGCTTCACTGCATAAATAGATATGTGCCATATGTGAGTTTTCACTGGCTTACACAGCATGATAAAATATCCATATAAAACTTACCTAAACTGGCAAACTTACTGATTTGCAGAGTACAACAAGGTGACCTAACATTAATTTAATATAACTTAATCATTATCTGTGATGGTTTGAAATGGATTAGCTGCTTGAATATTACACGTACACAATAAACTTTTAAAAACTGTAAATACCTGCCCTTGCACTCTAAACTTGATATGTCAGCATTTTTTGCCTTTTCTCCACCAAAAGTTTTCTTCAGCCCACTGGCTGGCAGTAGATCATCTATTGTCACTGGGATTACTACGTAGCTATTCTTTCCTTTTGTTATCATATGCGTGCCTGCAAAAACCCAAAGGCCTTAATCCAATACTAGCATTTCTTTGATTTTCAGAACAGAAATGATATTTTTGATAAAAATTTAAATAGTGGATTAAATTACTTTATTTTCTTGAAAATTCATAAAGCTAAATATACAGTAGTTGTTGTTTTCTATAAGATAATACACATAGTTCATCATAATTTTAACATACTAGTATATACATGTAGAGTGAACACAATGACAACATATCTGACAACAATGTTTACATCAGATAAGACAATCAATCACTGATAGGTAGTCAGTGCATATTAAGTTTGCCATGTGTATGTCGTGCATGTGTGAGTAGTTTAAATTTTTCAATGAGTACTTCATGAATTGGTAACTAAATGAAAGTATAAAGTTCTCACAATAAATCAGCTCATTCTTGTTATCATCAGATTTTCACCTAATGTAAAACAAGGACTTCAAAAGTCGTAGCTACATCATGGCCTGCAATGGGCGACTACAGACTTGAAATTATCTCTAAGCATCCACACACTGTTACTCCCCCCGAGCATATACATTATTACTCCAAAGCATTGTTCTTCACTGGTAAAAAAATGATTGACATATAAAATATATAAAAGATTTGACTCTTTATTTCTAAAACTAACTGTGCATGTAAATATCCTGACCTGAAGGTGACATATTTTTGGAATCAACATTTAAAAACCAACTGAAGGGGAGTAGCGATGCAGGGACGTACTGATGGGGGTAACATCTTAATTAACCGGGGGAGTAATTAACCTTGTACGTGGGGAAAATGATTCTTCATGCATATAATGTATCTCCCAAACTGAAATCTCATAACTGTGTTTGCTCAAAATCTGTATGTATCACACACGGGTTTTGTTGAAGAATACTTCAGTTGGGCGTTGCCGGTTCATAAACGGGTTAATATTTATTTATTACGTTATGGGAGTAGGGGTCAAACACTTATACATGTGTAGCTGGAAAAGTATATCATTGCTTAACTTTAAAAAGAGGGAAGTGGGAATAACCACTGATTATGAAATTTAATCTGTGTGAAGGAGGGTTCTGCAATGTTTAACTGCAATGTTACTGATACCCTTGTACAGTGAAAATAAACAGTACAGATGATAACACTGCCAAAATGTGACATATGAAGTACATCGATATATATACAACAGCCAATTTAACTAGTTCATCACAGCTGATTGTGATTTGTTAAAGTGGAATGTTAGTATAATCCCTAGAATATCAAAACTAATGCTGGGATCAATGGACTTACTGTAATTCACATCAGCAATTGTTTTCTCACGCTCCCCTCCGTCTGCCATCCTTTATTTCGTCACGCCTAACTAGGTAGCTTCACGTTAAATTGTCACCTTGTAAAGCTGATGGACATAAAAGGCCACGTGAAACGACCCTTATCACTTGGCTATCATAATGCAAAAGATAGACCAAAGTCAGTTAAAAAGTATTTTAACAAATCTAAAATATTTCACGGTTCAATAAAAAGAGGATTTGCTGATTGTAGTCAGGAGACATGCCATATCAGATCCAAATATGGTGGCCACGCGCCATCTCAGGCTAGAGATCGGCTGTCTTCTCGGGCCACATAATTTAATACCAAAATGCTTTTGTCAAAGTGAAAATGCGCAAAACCAGTTATTATCATTGCCCTCCACAGTATATCACGTTCTAATCAATGCTGTACACAGGACATCTAATACAGAGATTGTTTTGATATTTCAATAAAATTTTTAGTCCAAGACCATAGGGAGTATTTACAACCAGTTGATCTATGGACTAACTAGTCCATGGATCTAATATGGTGTGCAAGCAACCCACATAATCTCTTACAATAATGTGATGGATTCCCTGCCTCTCAGCAGGGGCAGAACAATGAAATCTCGACACATGCTTCCAAGTGGGTCATGCCAAATTTAAACAGGTTGTGAAAGCTCCCAAACTCTGAGAAAATAGATGCAACACAGTTCAAACCAAAACATTTAATTGTCACACCTTGCCAAATCTGTGAAACACCGTGAAAAACAAAAATAAATTCTATATTCATACTTTTAAACCATACTCAGTCTGTCAAACCTGGTGAAAATGCACAGAGATGAGAAATAATTAATACATACTAGGCTATCCTATCTATAATTTACAAATTGTCAAACTTTCTAGTGGATTGAAACAGTGAGAGTAACAATTCATGAATGCCATTGTGTGGAAAATGAAGCATAATTTATGCAAAAGACAGCCTGACTTATTTAGCCAAAGTTTTTTTTCACCAACTCATTTGAGTTGTTCTTTAGGTGGGTGGATTTGCTGGAGTTGTTTACATGTAGATATTATATATATGTTAAACATGTTATGTAATGATACATTGTGTTTAGATACAGTATTAAGTTTGTTCTCTGTGTCATTTGAAAGAGTTACTTTTTGTACATGGTGTTCCACAGGCAAGTAATAAAAAAGTACTCTTCATCCTCCAGACTTATGATGTGGTTTATAATTTTTTTCAAATGGAGTTAATTGGTTAACTTTCAGCATGGCAACCAGCTTCAATATGCAGATTGTGACTACTGAATTTGTTATGATACGAATACATAAGTCTTTATAGTTTGCGTAGGAGCTGCAGCAAAGAGGCTTTGGATTCCAGCAGAAGACATGAATGGCAAGTCCAATGCACTAGTAATTTCAGTATCTTTGCTGGTATCTACTCTGGTGTCCAAAATATGCATTGGCACTCAATATTAACCGCCCCATTTCATCTATCAGCTACAAAATGATTATTTTCATTTTTCAGTTTAACAGAAATACAATCAAGATTTTTTTCAAGGTTTTATTTGACTATCATCTTAATCATTTTCACTTAAGGTACAGCTGAATATATTCATACACATGAAGATAATAACAGTGTAACCACCTTAAATAATTTTGTCTATTTTGAGAGTATTACTAGACACCACAAAAAGGTTACATGCATGAAAAATATAGGAATTAATTTTTCTTACCACACAGGTGCTAATTGCTTTGTTGGTTTTACCTGTGCACAGTTTTTGATGATATTAATAAGACACTGCCACAAAAAGACACAAAACAAACAAACAATGCTCATGCATATACATAAGCCTCAAAACTTAAAGATACATATAAAGCATGAGTGGACTACCAGTAACACAGATACACCACTTCTACTTGTTTCTTACACAACTTAAATAAAGTTGACATGCCAAGCATAAACCAAATTAATCTCTCGTTAGCCAAAAGAGTAGCTTTGAAACTGCAACTTTTTCAATTTTTGGTTGTCCTGTTCATGAAGGTCAGTTAAATGACAAAGCACTGTGCACATATTGCTTTATCATCAC